ATTTATTTACTTAATATATTTTTTCAAAAAATTAAATATAAAAAAAACTGATAAAAATTTGCAAATAATTATATATAGAAATGATCATCATTATACTTTACCCTTAAAAAAATGTAAAAATGGGCTGTTTCTATTGGCCGCACCCCATATAATCAATTGGAAACACACCCACATGCTTTACCTATCAAGGTAATATTACCATGACAGGTGTCAGGTAAGTGTGCCTCGACAATGATCGTCGTTCATTGTTCGGGGTCACGGGTATCACGATCCTTCATGGGCGTTTGGGGTCATCTCGCGATAGTTCCCTGGGTCGGGTTTGCCCGTGACAATATTATAAGAAACATAAAATATATTTAAACAAAATTGTAGCTTAGACTAAAAGCAGCAAATTTTAAGACCAATTTTTTTTAAAAAAGGGATGTCTCCGAATATTTATAATGGCTAAAAGTGTATCTGTGATATTTTTTCATTAAGCACTGTCAGTCTTCAAAGCTTCGTGCCTCTGGTACTTCTCAAGGTATCAAGGTACTGTTTTTGTGACACATTTTGTACATTGCTCATATACGAAAGACAGTTCAGCTCTCAATACAAATCTTATGAAGTTTACACGTTATCAGCTAACGATATTTCGATAAATAGTTTTAAAGCTCCGTACGTAAACAACTCGGTGGTTGTACTTGGCTTGTCATTCTATCTTAAATTTTGGACATTCTGTTAAATTTTGATTGTGCCACTAATTTACCTACAAAAATTATATATTTCGATTCAATTGATCAAAATTTATCTATAGCGATTCTATCTAAACTTTGGCCAAGGCGCAGTTCCGAGAATAGGCAGATTTATAACGTATAAAATACGCATACAGTAATATACACAATTTATATATAGGATATATGCATTTAGATTAATATATCCTTTTATTATGTTTTTTTCTATATTATCGACATCCTTTTATAGTTCATATAATACAGACTCATCATTTGGTTCAATTCCTAATGACTTATTTAAATCTGCAAGCGACTCTTTGTATTTACCCATTTTGTAATAACTTATTCCACGAGTTGATAATATAGCAGCATTAACTGGATCAATTTCTAATGAATTATTTAAATCTTCAATTGACTCTTTATATCGACCCATCTTTTGAAATGTTAACCCGCGGCTGCCTAATACAGATAAATTATTTGGATTAATTTCTAATGATCTATTGTAGTCAGCAAGTGATTCTTCATATCTGCCCATATAAAGATAAATCGCTCCACGATTATTCAAGGTTATAGTATCATCAGGTAAAAGTTCCAATGATTTACTATAATCTTCAAGTGATTCTTCATATTTTCGCATATTTTGATAAGTAAATCCGCGAGTACTTAACATTAACGCATCATTAGGTATGATCTCTAATGCCTTATTTAAATCAATAAGTGATTCTTCATATCTACCCATTTCTCGATAAATTATTCCACGAATGCCCAACATTTTATTACACACTATCTTATCGTCGTTCGAAGTGAATCCTAAAAATTTGGTAAAATCGGCAAGAGATTCTTCATATTTGCATATTCTTTTATAGATTAATCCACGATCTGCTAGTGCTAATGTATCGTTTGGATTTATTTCTAAGGCTTTATTTAAATCAGCAAGAGATTCATCATATCTATTCATCTCACTATAAGTTTCACTACGATTTCTTAATGCCTTCGCATTATTTGGATCAATTTCTAATAAGTTGTTTAAATCAGCAAGTGAGTCTTCATATCTTCCCATCTTTCGGTAAGTCACACCACGATTTCTTAACGCAAGCAAATCACATGGATTCATTTCTAATGATTGATTTAAACCTGAAAGCATTTCTTTATACTCGTCCACTTCTGAAGTATGTGACTGCTTAAAACATTGTGGTGAATTGGTGCTTTGCAATTGATTCGCATTCAAAGAATCATAGACATCTGTATCAACTGACCCAGGTGATACTGATGGTGATTCTGATGATGGTTCTGATGGAGTGATACTTAGATATGAATGTACGTGTATTGTGCTTTTACATGAATGCAAATTTTCAATTGAATCGTTGTTTTCAGTCGATTTAGTGTCTGATATAAGCTGATTTAAAGTCACAAGAATTAATTTTGTTTTTGGACGAATGTTGGGGTCATTGTCCCAGCATTTTTTATAAAGCTCAACATATTTAGATGATGTGCCTTCTATTGGCTCCTCTCTATTTCCTCGATATATATGTAAATGAAGATCAACAATTGGCTCGAAAAATTGAAATGGTGGCCTGCCGCTTGAAATTTCCCAGAGGATTACTCCAAGACTATAGATGTCAGATCTTTTGTCACATTTATACATTTTGTTAGGAGAACATTGAGGTTCTATATATGCCTGCATTTCATGAATAGTAATGTTTGAAGCTATTGAAATATCATTCATTTGTTTTGATAGGCCAAAATCTGCGATTTTAATTTGTCCTTGATTAACTAAAATGTTGTTTGAATGCTATAAAATAATATTTTAGTATTTAACTATTAATGTAAATAATATGATTAATACACTTACAAGGCCTTGATGAACAACATTATTATTATGTAAGAAAACAAGACCCATCGCTATTTCTTTTGCAATACGTAATTTATCCGTCCATTGTAAATTCATGAAATTTTTATCCAAATAGTTTCTTAAGTTTCCATCACTAGCAAATTCCAAAACCATATGATAATTAATGCCGTCTATGTTCAATATTTATATTTAGAATTGATATATTATTATTTGCATATATAAAATAATTTTATACTGCAAAATTAAAAATGTATACCGTTTGTGATACCGTAAAATCCAATAATATTGGGATGGAAACAAACTTTTTGCAATAACTTAAGCTTTAATGAAAATATATACATTACATAATTTAATAATTTAGTAATTTAGAAAATATATCAAATAAAATAATAAATTACCTTAATGATAAAATTTTGAATGGCCCTTTCGTTTGAATTTACATTGACATTAAGGCATTTAAGGACGACTGATAATTCATTATCTTTCCATTCGCATTTATATATGGACTCGAATTTTCCCTCGCCAATATTTAAATCATTAGTGAATTGTTCAAATTCAATTTTATTGATGTGTTCATCGGAAACGGTGTTTTCGAGCCACTTGATCATAATTTTACAAACGACTAGAGATGCGAAAATTGACAAGAAAAAAAAAAAAATGCAAACATACGTTGTATTACAAAAAAAAAATGAATTAGATCTAAATTAGGTGTGATACCTGAACATGAAGTAGTTTTTCCTAAAAATTTGCATGAATACAATGTAAGCCCATTATTCCCTAACACTAACACATGACATGCTAAGCCATATGTGGATAATAATATTAAAATGAATAAAAAAATTTTTTTCTTTATAGCCACATATGGTGATTGCTTTTATCGTTATCGTTATTGTTAAAATCCTAGAGCTGCAGGTCACAGGTCCAGCACCGGATATCGATCCCCGGCCAACATCCCCAGCATGACCATTGGGGTTCTGGTGTAAAATTCAATAATGTTTTTTTCGTGTAATAATCACGATGATCTATAGCAAAGTGCTATAAAATTTTAACGAAAATTGTTAATAATATTAAAGAAAGTTCGATTTCGTCTAGGCTAAAAAGGACACGTATCATTTCACCGACGGCTTAGTTCATAAAAACACCATCGTCGCCAATAATCGAGTTGCAGTCATGATTTCCAAACCTCTTAGTTTTTATCGGATCTGACGTAACCTCACAATGTTAATTATGCAATTTATTGTTTTTTTTCAATCATATTTTTAATTTTCTATTTGTACAGTTTTATACCGAACATTTATAATAAACTTTTTCTACGAATTTGTTATAACGAACTTTTTCAACGAACTCTTTATAACGAACATTTTACAACAAGCTTTCTTACACCGGATTTTTAAATCAATTTATTATACGTATTGATGTAGAAACAGTAAATTACCCTATAAGGAACTTTTAAGAATTTTTATGATTAGAACTGCCAGTTCGTCATAAGAGAGTTGACTGTATTTCTATTCTAATCCCCTGTCGCACTAAGCGTCATTCATGACTATCTTCAGCATAATTTTTACACGTGAATAACCATATTTAAAATATAATATTGTGACTGAGAATATTCCCATGGAAGGTTCAAAGTCTTCATATTGACAATCGGAGCCTCTCGTATATTGTATTGTTTTTCTTTTTTAAAGTTTCACGCTTTATGCAACCTTTAATTTTTAAGTTGTTATATTCTGGGCAAAAACTTTAATAAAAGCCAAAGTAAGTTCATTACGTGATAAATTATAAAACACAAAAAGTAAAAAGCAAAGATGATAAGTAAAATAAAGCAATGCATAAAGCGAATTTCATGCATGTTGACAAGGGTCAACGGATCGAAAATTATTTTCGCTCGAGATCATTTATTTCAAACAAAAAGTATTTTTATTTATTAGAATATGGGATAGTGCTCGCTGC